CGTCCGCTGAGATCAGAAGCACGGGCACCCCCTGGAGCTCGCACTCGCGGGACCCACCCCAGACCTACCGCGTCAGCGCCTGCAGTTCTAACCACATCCCGGGCCGTTCGCAAGACATTGACGCTCAAGAGGCGCTGCAGTAGACACAGCCCACACTAATTTGTAAATGGGAACGAGCTCATCCCAATGCCCCCGAGAACTCGGAAGGATCTGCTACCACCCATCGCCTTGAAAATTACAGATGCACCTGTACACCTGCAGGTGGGCGGTTGTGACCTCCCAATTGTACCTGAGAAACTACGCATAGCTTCTGACTCAGGATCATCAGCAGAGAGGCGTGGCTGAGTGCTGGGGACCCAGAGCAGAGGACCCTGTGCCCCCTGCCAGCACCACACCTGCAGCGGAAGTCCTGCATCCCCGTGAAAGGATGCTCTTGGTAAACCTGGCACCCACGGCCCCGGGGAGAAGGCTGTCCTCGCCTCCTGCTGGGAGATCTTGCCCAGAGGCTCATCTTGTTTGCAAGTGAGTCACATGCTAGGACTGGGGGCAGCGAGTGCCTGGGGAGGGTGACACTGCAGAAAACCCATGGGACGTGCATGCTGGCCTGTGCCGCAGGTGAGGCTTAGGAAATGCTGAATGAGCATCCAGCCCGGATCCCTGTCTGTTCACAGGGAGAAGAGAGTTTCTTTTCTTCATGCCCATAGTGGGGTTGAGGCCAGGGTGACTGGAGACACCAGTGGGCAGACCTCAGAAATCAGGAAGAGTGGTCGGGGCATGGGTGCTGGGGAGAAGAACTTTATCAGGAAGGGCGGCCGAGGGTGGGGGCATTGCCTTAAAGTCAATAGAATATGCAAGAACAGTGAAATAGTTTTGAAAAGTCTTATACCCAGTCTTAGCAACCCCTGTACTCCTGAATGCCCAACCAGAGGGGAGCCAGAGAGCGTTTAGAGACCCCGCAATTAGAAGCCACCTTCACGGGGACGAGAGGGCCATGTCTCCCGTCAGCGTCTGGGGCCGGTACTCATGGAAAGGGGAGAGGGCCGGGCTGCCAGGGTAGGATCAAGGCTGCCTCAGGCTGCCCCCTGAGGCTAGGAAGGAGGGGATCGTACTTAAATTAACTGATACCACCCAACATATTTTTTTTTCCAGAGACTTTACACTGAGAGCGTTTGCAAATACTGAAAACGCACGGTGCCTGAGCTCACCACGTATCCCTGGTCTGTACACACTGAGGCCTGTGAGGCAAACAATTTTAAAAAGAAGTAACAGTAATATTTACAGGTACTTGGTACATGACCATATGCACACTACGGGTAAGAATAACTTAGAGAAAGTTAAGTAAAATGCATGAAGGATGCATAAGACTGTAACGGCCACCATTCAATCCCAGAGCCCAGCACGTGGCTCAGGCCCTGGTGCCAGAACAGAGCACCCGGGGCCCCACGGTGGGGGCTCCCACCAATGCCCACCCCTCAAGAGCACGTCGGCTCTCTGGAGGCTGCCATGACGTCACTGCTCACTCTTTCTTGGCTCCTAGGTTTCCCAGATACAAGATTCTACCAATATTGACTTTACTGCTACATTTATCTTGGCCAGCGTGCAGACGGGCCCTGACTTAGGATTTTTCAACGTGAGCATGGTGCAAAAGCAAGACACATTCAGTAGAAACTGTACTTCAAGTACCCACACAACTGTTCTTCATTTTCAGTACCGTATTCAATAAATTATATGAGATATTCAGTACTTTATTATAAAACAGGATTTGTTAGATGATTTTGCCCAACCATAGGCCACTGTCTGTGTTCTGAGCGTGCTGAAGACGGGCGGGGCTAAGCTATGATGTTTGGTAGGTTAGATTATTAAATGCATTTTCGACTTACAGTATTTCCAACTTACAATGGGTTTATCAGGACATAACCCCATCGTAAATCACGGAGCATTTGTATAAAGGAAAGGAGAGAAATATAATAACATTTCAGAGTTTCAATAAATTGGAAATCTCAGAATTGTTTCCTCTGAATTCAGAATTACATTAGCATTCCAGGCGACGTTCCGCCACTGCGCTCTTACGAAAGAGGCGCTCCACCCGGCTGCGTTTCTTGTTCTCTACAGGTCTGTCAAATGGTAAACTCCTTGAAGCTATTTCTACTGCAGCCTTCACACATAAAACAAAATTCACACTTGTATAATTGCTTTAAAAATATGCAAACACACACACTGTTGGTCAGTTAATTCTGGTTTACCCTTAGGACACTTAAGTAATTGGTATAATGACTTTAAAGACAAATCAAATCTTATTAATGCTTCCCAAGTACTTTAAGAATCTTAAGTCAATGAGTATTTGTGAAGTGCTACTATCAGGAAGAAAACACACACATTGTAGCAGTTGGTTCCTGAAGAAGTGTCTGGGCTTATTTAGAGTCTCTCCCGGAACTCTGTTGGTTCTGACTCTTCCAGGAAATAAGACTGAGGAAGTTGATAGAGGAGTTTAATATGATTTTGACTATGAGTTATGGATATATTAATAACTACAATTCAAAGAAGAAACTACCCAGAAACTATTAATATAACACAACGACCGTCTTGGATATTGAGAGTACACGAGGCTGCCTGGCCTGCAAGCTGCTCGCAGGTCGGCTGGGAGACCACTCGTGTGCCCACTAGCAACCAACCGGCCCTGCGGGCAGGTATGCCACGGACTTAAATACCTGATGGTCTGATCGGAATTTTGAAAGCACCAGGGCGACTTCATGACTAGTACCAATGTCACATACGTTTCGATTGGCTTAAAAACCCACTGAGCCTGTATTTTGCTCATAAAATTATTGGACACTGTGAGGAAGATAAGAGGCTTCATCCATATGCTAAAATAAAAATTATAAGACGAAGGGAAAAAAGACAGGAAGGACTAAGAGTTCAGAAAAAGAGACCAAATGTGACCAAGAGTGGTCAAAGACGGTTCTAGAGAAAAGGTAAGAACCAGACCTGGGCCTGGAGGAGGGGAGGGTGCAGACCTGGGTAGGAGAGACAGCACGCTGGGCGGGACCCTCCTACTGAGTAAAGACCCCCGGGGCGGTGCGGGGCTTGCGCAGAGTGTGATCAAGGTCAGCAGACGAACCCATTGAAATCCATGTTCTGCAGCTAAACATTTACTGAGACCATCCCATGTACTAGGCTCACTGGAATTATCTCATTTAATCATTGCTACAAGCAGACTTGAGTAGAAGTTACAACACTGCAAAAGCAACAGCTATAGCAAAAAAAATATGATCAATAGGGCAGTTGTTCCTGCCTCCCAGCATCTGCAGTGGCGGGACTTCCCTGTCCTGGAGCAGCCGCACTCCTGGACTCGGGAGACAACAGCTGTGCCCCGGGGTGGGGGATAGGGGGTGGGTTGAGGGGGGGGAGAATAACCCAAAACACGGAAAAAGCCCCCCCTCCTCAGAATGAGCAGCCCTGCTCTTCCTTGTTGGCACAGGAAAAATTAGGGTGTTAACAGCTGAGATAAAGAGACCCTAGGTTGGTATTAACTTACCTTCAATTTCCCTCCAGCTAAATCCCACCTTAATTAGCTTGACTTTTTAATTGAAACAAGTGATTGAAAACAGTGGGCCAACGAGCCCCAACAGTAAGACGACGAAGCATACCTGTGTGTTTGCCTGTTTGCTCTGCTGTTAAATATTCAGCAATGTATTTGTAGGATTTAAGTGATCGTTCTCCCTTCGTATGGATATGAGAACAAGGATAACGCCGTTCCCGCGTGGGGAATGCTGAGTTCACCAGCAAGGCGGCCTCCGGACTCTTTCGAGAGAGCATTGAGTTGTGTCCTTCATGGACTCAGACGGGAGAGAGAGCGTTTCTATTTAATCACCTGCTCACCACAAAGGAGAACACCACGCTAACTTCAGCAGGAAAAGTATGCGTTAAATTACTTCTGTAGCTCCCTAAAGATTAAGGCTTGTAGGTTCGGGATGGCATTACAATTAAGTAATAATGAAAGAGAAATCTTGTCTTTTGATCAAATAATGCATTAATCCTACTATACACTGTGTAATCTCATCCACTCTCTGGTGATGTTGACTTTTTGAGGTATAATTTTTATTTCTCATTCCACAGGACAGGAAACAGGGACGGAGAAGAGGAGGAGGGCATGCGTCAAGAAGACAGTGGGAGGAAAAAATACCCCGAAAAGCTCCCTGATGAGAATTGTTATTTGTCGCAGCATAGAGAAAACCCCAGGTAGTTTTAATGAAAGGGTGCAGTCATTTCTTAAGGTTGAGCATACACGAGACATTTTCTGCAGAAAAACTATACCCCCCGAACCCCAAATTCATGGGGCCTACTACCTTGAGCGGGGCTAGGTTGCAATTTCTGAATCCCCTTCGGTACTTAAGATCAGAGTTCACTAAGCAATTAGCAGTACATCCAGGCTCTCCAGGGAGGCATTTGAGAGCAAGTTTTTCGAGCACTTCAGAAGCATTTATATACACCCAACATGCCATTAATCATGCTTATCTGTTCATTAAAGCAGTCTCCCCCAGGACCTCCACTTGCCAGTTCTGTCTCCGTCTGGTTCTTTTTATCTGCGTACCTGAAAAGGAGTCCATTTCTCTTAAAACGTATTTTATAATTAAAATACCTCGCTAATTCACATGGGTGTGCTCCACCAATTAGTCTGCATTTTCAGAGTTTTATTAAGTATACAGAAAGGCGGTTCTCTGGAGGGTCTTTGCAGAAGACTAACCACACAACCGAAGCCTGGTTTCGGGATACAGTTTCTGCATTTGGGAGATTCTAGAGCCATTACTCACACCATGCTATAAACCTCCTGTCCTCATCAACAGATGTTGCTTTCTTCTGTCCCCCATCAAAAACGGAGAGCTATTTTAATGCGCATTGTGGTCTGATTGATCTAAACTGAAGGTGGAGGAGAAATCAGATACTGTAACATCAAAAAGAAACCAGTTTGCAATGTCACATCCGCTGGTATTTGACCGTACCTGTGACTGCGATTCGCCCACACCCGCGTTCCGGCCTCCGCTGGCTCCCGGCTCCGTCCATCCCAGTGCCGCCGGCAGACAGGCCCCGAGCAGCGTGAGACGCAGCCAAAAGCCTCCTGGTTTCATTTTGTTGAGCCTGTTGAGAAAATGACAAGTGCTCAGAACTAAGCATGGCGAGAGGTACAGCAGGTCACAGTGAGATGGGGCGTGTACTGCAGAATCAGATAAACCTGGGTTTAGATCCCAGCACTCGCCCTCTGCTCCGCTTTGGAGAAACTACCTTACTTCCGAGCCTCAGTTTACTTATGTCTAAAATGGAGGCAACAATGCACACCTCGTGGGGTTTTGCGAAGACTGAAGGAGTCAGTGTCAAACGTATGGTAAGAGCTCGATAAATGCCGTTGTGTGGAAACTCATTCGAGGTGCCACCTACCGCTGGATTTACTAGAACGAACCGGGATCAGACATCTGGGTCACCTCCCTTAGGTTCCTACAGGTCCATGCCTCAGTTTCCCAAGAAAGCCTTTGGGACTGGGCATACAATTAGCGCTCAAGAAACGCTGATTAGAAATTATGTTAAATCTGTGACACCTCATTTGTAGCAGATGCCTCAGTCTACAAGATAATGAGCTTCAAAACGGCATCATCAAGCCCAGTATTTCCGTTTCAAGACCAATCATTTCTGTAGCAGAATCCAAGTATCCAAAAATAATGGAATTTCAACACACTTTAAGGTGATTCCTGAGATTCACTTTAACATTATCGTCTAAATTCCTAGAAGACAAGAAATGAGCAATTCAAGGTAACAGGCCAGGCGCAGTGGCTCACGCCTATAATCCTAGCACTCTGGGAGGCTGAGGCGGGAGGATCGCTTGAGGTCAGGAGTTCAAGACCAGCCTGAGCAAGAGCGAGACCCCGTCTCT